CCTTGCACTGGTGTGCTCGGACCCTAATTACCATGTTTGTTTTTTTCTGTCTTGTTTCTGACCTCTGAGCTGCCTCCCCAGTGACAATGAACCCTTGTTGGTTGTTGTAAGTGGCTGTGAGTCTATGTAACCGCAAAACATTGCTGAAATTTGCATATTTATGCTGAAAAAAAATATCTGCAGGGGCAAAACATCAACTTCTCCCAGAGAGGAAAGAGCTTAAAAAACACAATGTCAGGCCAAATATGAAACCAGTCGGATTTCTGCAGTGTATTTTATTTAAAGGACACTTCCAGTGGTGCGTTTGTTTTTTTCTGCTTTTTGTAACAGTTTCACAACACTGTCGATTATCTCCCAGTAATTTGAAAAAAGTTGAAAAATATCTTTAATCGAAAGCGTGCATTTGAAAAAAAAATTTATGTTAAAGAAACAGAAGTAATAAAATTAATAATAATAAAAAAGAACACTCATTGCATGCTGGATTTGTCCTTAATGCTGCACATTTGTGTGTTAAGGTTTGTCGGTAGAACTCTCTAATAAGGCAGCCTTTTGGAGAAGTGAGAGAAAGCTGACGAGGGCTTACCGCTAATCTAGAAAGTATCATTGATTTATGTAATCAGTCACAGCCTGTAAACACTGAAGGAATGCCTTACTAGAAAGCGGTAGCCACAGTTTAACTGAGGGCATCCTCGTGGTGACATCAGAAGGCAATAATTGTAATTTCTCAAGGCTTATAGCACTAAATGAAAAATATAATTTGACATTACTCATGTCTAATACCAGTGAGTCGACCATTAAATGGGCTGCTGGAGAGTCAGGACTGTTTTTGGCTCAAAATGTTGTGGAAAAAAAAAAAACTCCTTTCTGTTGTCAGTTACAGACCAAAGAAGGTCAGAGCGTCACAGGGAGTCCTGCCAGTGCGGCTGCAACGTCTGCAGTCATACTAAGGTTATAGCTGTCACAGATGAACTTAAGGCTCTCTAGCTTCCTGCTCAGCTCAATTTGAATCTGCAGCGTTCTGTCAAATGATACTGTAGCTTTCTTCAGGATATTTGGCTTGTGTCGTGGCTCGGAGTTCACATTTCAGTCATCTGGTCCCTTGCTGCAGCGTGAGCAAACTCGCCCGCTGGTGATACTGTCTCTCCTTGGCTTCTCTGATTTTCGCCGTCAGATCCACCGGCTTCTCGAAGAAGTTCACCAGCGCCTGTTCAGTCAGCAGCGACGCCAGGATCTGAGCATAGCTGACCGTCCACTCGCTCTCCGCCGCCGACTTCCCGTCACTGCCGCCGTCGAGTCCGGCGTCCTCAGCGGGTGCGGGTGCCGCTGCTTTCGCCTCCTCTTTGCCGATGACCTCTGACTCTGAGGTTTGCCCGCGGTGGCCAGCCTCGCCGATCTGCAGCACCAGGCTGGTTACCGTGGCAATGGCCTGGAAGAGGTCGTTCTCCTCCGGGTCACCGTGGAACATGCTGTAGAGCGTTTTACAGAACTGGATGAACTCCCGCTGTAGAGGAGACAGGATGAAGAGGGCTTATATCAGTGGAGTTCAGGAACAATGAGCCGACACTAAGAGCAGTCAGACACTGGAGGGGGATCAGGTTACATCATGAAATGTATTTTGTGCATTATGAGTCTCATATATGCTGACAGCCCTGGTGAAGCTCGGGATTCATCGCGAGAAGCTTTGATACAAATAGTTCCACCATATAAACCAGAAATAGATCTTATGTTCATTTAAAGAAAAGTAACTTCACTGCATTTTCTTTGCACAGCAGCATCATTCCATGTAGCACACCTTACATTGATAAAACCACAGACACATTATGCACAAAGGCTGCTTTAACACATGCCACTGTGGTACAATAACACATTTCTCGTTGTTTCTAACTAGTTCTTGCATAAGCGTGCTGGCTGGAAGTCATTAGGCCTCACACAAGACTTTGTCATTGTGCCCCTCTGCTAGCTAAACACCCACAATCCTCTCTGCTTGCCAACACACAACTCCCCACCCCCTCTAGTCGCCACACAGCTGGAGGCATTTACAATACATAAGGTGTGTGCTATGAAAGAAAATGGTGTTACGCATCAGCACGTACTAAGAATTAAATTACTCGGATTGGACGGGGGAAAAAAACCTTGATCAGGACATCACTATTTGGTGGTGTGTTCATTGTTGCTTCACAACAAAGTGCATGACTGAGAGGGAGTGTTACAAACCGTCACATACAAACAAAGGGAAATAAACATGAAATTGCAACAGACATATCTGTTGACAGGACTACTTCCCTAAAAGTACGCCAGGTTGACTCACTTCTATTTGTGATATCACAGAAGATAGATGACAGAAAACAAGGGGACTAGAACTAGTATTCAGTACCTGGTTCATGAGTGGCAGAGGCTTCTCCACGTCTTTCTCCTTCTCTTTCACCAGATCCTGCAGCATCTGCTTCAGCTGCTCCTGGTAATCTTTTACTTCACCTTCATCATCTGGAATTACAGAAGAGTCAGATTTTCTTCAGCCGCTCTGAATTATTTCATGCATTTATCTGACACATTAAACACATGTTGAGCTAATCAGCACATGATGATGAGTCAAAGTGTGTCTGCACCAACCAGAGGACAGATTAACATAGAGGGGTCTGTTGGTGGACAGCAGGGGGCTCTTCATCACAGACGGGTCGTCCTCACTTTCAGTCAAAGCTGCAGACACACGGTTAAACCAGTCAGTTACTGGCCTGACTGCAACTCTGAATCACTCTCATTGTGCTAACAGGATGACTAACCTGGAGGGATGTGAAGGCGATACAGCAGCCTGATTTTCTCATTCAGCTCTTCACAGTACAAAGTGTCTGAAAAAAACAAAAGAGGCAGTTTTTGAGACACATTTGAGTCGTTAAACACTCAAGAATGAACTGAATATTTTTTCAATATTTCCACCCTGTCCTCCCTCCGCCTACCCAGCCAGCTGGCAAACTCTCTAAAGGTGACCAGGTTGTCTCGGTCCTGGTCCAGCAGGGTGAAGGAGCGGTTGGCCAGCGTGTCGGTGTGCTGGTTCGAGCCGCCGGGCCACGGCACCAGCAGCCCGTACAGGCTCTTAAACTGGGGTCGGTCCAGCCGATACTGTCGCTCCACATACGAGCGACCGGAGTCTCCGTACTGCCAAGCTGCCGCCTCTGCTGCTGCTGCAGAGCTGCTGTCGCCCCAGTATAGACTGATGAAGTGCTCGGTCTGAGTAGAAGAAAACATCGTCCAAAACGATTAAACTGTCCTTTCACACATCAACGTCTCTGAGCACGAGGAAGCATGATAATCTGGAGATACCTTGAAGAGGTCATAGATGTCAGCCAAGTTCTCTGGAGAGATGGAAACATCTGGAGTCACCAGCCTCAGCTGCACAGAAATACCGAAGTATGGGAGGATGGCATGCAGTAAAGTTTATGTTAAGCAGCTTTAAATATGTTTATACTCTCTGTCTGCTCACAGCATTTTCTTTGGTGGTGTCTTCATGAGCCTGCAGCACTCGGATTCTGTGTCGACAGCGAAGCCTCTCAATCTGCCGCACTGTCAGATCTCCGAATTTCTGACGGAAGAAACAAATAACTGAGAATAATATGAAATTGAAGGCAACAGGAGCATGCTGCCCACCAGAAGTTATGAAGACTGAACGAAAACTAAAGCTGCAGGAAGTGAAGAAATCTGGAAAAACATTTGGCTTTCCACAAGGAGTCCAACCTCCCCCTGAGTGAATGTTATCTTCTGAACACACCAGCAAATACAGACGAACCATAAGCAAAAAATAAAAAATCATACTGCAATTATTTTGACGACATGATTCATGACTTCAGTGGAAATGATCTTTTTTTTTTGTATTTCTTGTCCACTCAAACAAGTTTATAACATACAAATACATCTGGAGAGTACAATGTGTAGGCCAGGAAATCACACTACATTCCTTTTATAAATATGTTGTGAAGCATTTTACCTTCATCAAAACATCACAGCCTGTGTGATTTGGATGCATTTTGAGATTTAGGTAACATTGGTACTATTTATTTAGCCCAACCAGCCACCATGTCCTCACTGTGGCTCATCTTATCTTGTCTGGGTTTAAAGATCTGTGATTAGGTAAAGTTGCCTGTTGCGGGCTGCATCTTCTAAAGCCTGAAATGGAGCCAAGAGAAGCTGCAGAAATCTAGTTTCCTTCACAGAATTTTAACTAGCTGACAGGTTAGTGTGGAATTTTTACCCGATGACGCCAAAACAACGACTGCCTACCCCAGCTTTAACAGTGAGTCCACACAATGGCTTTATTTTTAATCAAGGAATCTAAGAATGTTTTAAAAAAAATAAGGATTTGCTGTAAAATAAAAATAAAAATGGTGCAACGTCAGCCTCCAGCAGCATCCTTCTTGCGAGTCTCTCACCTCGTAGGACTCATTGATGAGGTCGGTGATGTTTGCGTGTCCCACAGCGGGAATATCAGCGTCGCTGCAGCTGCTCTCCTCTGCAGCAGGCGGCGAGGACGGGACGCAGGACGAGTCTTCACCTCCAACCTGGTCCAGGAAGCTGCACAGCACAGAGCAGAGGGTTCACAGTCTGTCATTTCATGTGCTTCAAATATAACATGTTTAATCACTTCACAATAGAAAAGCACTTCAGTTTGTTCCATAAACACATCTCGACTATAAATTAAAATCCATGAGTGAATTTAGCATCAACTTTGGCATCACGGGCTCCTCTCTGTGTGGCACTGCCTCTTGCAATAAACCAATAGGAGAGTTCAGCTGTGTTACTATTAAACGCCTTAAGAAAACGTTATGAGCAAAAAAAAAACCCCAAAAAACAAAAAACCTATTGCAATTTATGGCTGCAGCCTTTACCTGCAGAGCTGATACATGACAGAAGCAAGCAACTAATGCAAATCATCTGCATACAGAATTTTTGCCGAAGACCTGGTGCTATTTGTGCTTAGCTACAGACTGAGCCTGATTTAGTTTTCATCATACCAATACACAAACCTACCTTGTGAGAATCATGAGTGCCTGTCCATCGTCTGTGCTGGCAGAGAGCAGCGCAGCGTTGGCGTCCAGCACGGCCAAACCCAGCTGGAATATGGCTTTGATTCCGTGGAAGAAGAAGCAGTCGACCACACAGACGGCGCTCTGGAAGGGCAGCACACTGAGGAAGAGGGTGAGGAACCAGGAGAGGGACACGGAGGAGAGAGTAGAGAGGTCTGGAACCTGCTCAGCCAACTCCGGCAAACGCTCCCTGATCAGCTCCTCAAACACCGACTGATCCACCTGAGCTCCTGCAGCAGGAAAAGACGGAGTCAAGCATGGAGAGTGTGACACAGACATGTCTGCATTTGATACCAAATGATGCTGCAATTCTTTCTGAAGCAAAAATTAAATATCACACAAGCAGTTGTACAAAAATAAATGTAGTCTAAATGCAATAATGATTAAAATCCACTGTTGTCTGATAAACAAATAAGACACCAACATTTTTAATCTGATCAGACGTGATGCCAGCTTTTGGTCCATCAATGTATTGTACAGATGAGGGTTTGTGTTTGGACCTTGTACCGTAAACCGTCTGAACCCCAAAATCCATCAACAGGTTTAAAGGGCACATTGTCTTTTTTTTATTTTCTAAAATTACTATAATTAGACCAATCAGCCAGAAAATGTAAATGCAATTTTGTTCAGTCTAAGGTTCTTGACGTGAAGGAAAATTGAACAAATATGAGCTCAACCCTTCATCGGACAAGGAACCATATATGGTAACTTCCACAGGCTTTAAAAAATGGCAGGGGGCAGGGTCATGTGACTTCATCCAGCCAATCAACGAAGCTCAGGCTACATCACAACACAACACTATGGCGTCTGACCAATCACGAGTGAGCCACACTGATATTTGGTAACAATTGTCATAAGTTCCATAAGTGTGACTGCTTAGGAAATAAATGTTCCCTTATCTTTATGTGTATTTTTTATTTCTCATTTCATTTTTTTTTTTTTTACAATAATTAATGCACATTTTATTTTTATTTTTTATTTTTTTATTTTTATTTTTTTACCCTCGGTAGGCAAAGAATCTGACTGACTTTGATTTGGAGCCTAAATCTGAAAGTTTTTTAAAAAGTCCTCTTATATCCACCAATAACACTGCAGGGTTGAAATTTGATATTTTCCAAGTATTTTAATGAGTGCCCTATAAATGGTTAAAATAAGGATTTTTTTCATCTGAATCACTTTATTCTGCATGTGTCATTTAAAAAATCCCCAAAAACAAATTGTCTGCACCACCCAGATTCTGTAAGAAGAATTTTGAGCTCATTAGAATAAATGTGGAGCTATTAGCGTCTCAGCCGCAACCAGCAGTGAGCTGACTAAAAAATCTGGGACTTTTAAATGCAGGTTGAACTGCTGTAGAAAAAATTGGAGAAGAGCACGGAAACTAGTTAAATGTTTTTTGTATTTAGATGTTTTTTTTCCACAGTACTGGTGACACCTGTATGCACTTGTTATACATGTTGAAAAAAAATCAAAGCTATTTCACATTCATTGTATTTTTTTTTTATGATTTCTAACCTAATAACGTTGTTTACCCTCACAGAAGACATTTCTGAGCTCTTTCTACTTCTAGCCATGGTTCTGCTGTTTCCATAGAGGTGCAGAACTTCATATTACAGTGAAAAATGAGCCCACAGTGAAGAAAAATGAGACAGGAGCGACAAATAAACAGAAACTGCTTGGAGTTCAGAGGCTGTTTTTGATGGTTTTGCCCACTAGATGGCAGCAACAGATGGACATTCAGTCTAACCGTTGCTCTGAACCTCACCGACATTAGGATTATTATAGCACACGATTGTTTGTCTGTGTTGAATAGCTGCAAAACAGGAAATGTAAAGTCATTTTATCGTTTTAACGCCATCAACAAATATAGGACAGAGACAAGTACTGACACCTCACTGTTTACGCGCTGGGCTGCAGAACTATTATATAATCCGAAATGCATCAACAGTAATGCACATAAACAGGTTACCGACAGGATACGTTTGTTATTGTTTTTGTCTCTGCTGTGTTTGAAAATTGTGAATGCTAAGAAAAAAACATAACTCCACTTATCCCTGAGCATCACGTCTATGCAGCACATAGAGATTCTCAGAACACAATCACTAGGAAAGACGCCCGCAAACACAAAAACACACTGGACATTACGAGGAAGAGGAAATTGTTTCAAACGCACCTTGCACATCCAAAATAAACAGCTCCACAAACACAGGAAATAATGCCTTATTTCAGAGGCCAATAACAAGCCTTTTGGGGTTGTTTTGTGTCTGAGAAACAGATGATCAGCCTGTGTGTGATTTTAAACTCCCTTGAAGTGGATAAAATCAGTGTCAGTAAATAAAGCTCGTGTCTTCGCTCTGTTCTCACCTATGACCCTGCGGTTGAAGTAGTCAGGCAGCATCCTCTCACAGACAGCCACCAGCAGCCAGAAAGCTTCTTCTTCTTTAGCGTAGAGCAGCAGCACCGATGCCAGGATGTTCATAGACTGCACGGAGGAAGACAAGCAGAGGCAAAGGTGTGAAATTTACATAAAGACGAGAAGCTACAGTTGAGAAACGAGTCATTCCAGATACATTGCTTTAAGGCATGAAACACAGCGTGGAGGTTAGTCTGTAAATGATGCACTAAATACACATTATCAAATGAGTTGATTAATGCTTGTGTATTTAATAATGTTTCTGCCAATAAATGTCCATCACACGACACACTTACCTCCAGTGGTGGAACACAGCCAAGTACATTTACTCAAGTAATGTAACTGAATTAAACTTTGAGGTATTTTACTTGAATATTTTCATTTTTCGCTGTTTCGTACTTCCACTCCACCACATTTCAGAGAAAGAGACTGTACTCCACTAGATTTATCTGACAGCTTCTCTTGACATGAAAAATGTACACAGTGAGTAATTTAACAAGCTTTTAAAATGTACATGTTCATAAAAATTAAACCAGAGATTTTTTAGTATATTTTTGGCAATGTGTAGTGTGTAGTCTATGATGAGGTGTTCACATGTCATATGGTTTCACTTTCAACAATGATTCAATATTTCAGGAAAAGAAACAGTCCAGAGC